GAGAATTTTATAGAGATGATACTGGATAGGGTCAACCAAAATGTACAGGAGACACTCAAGAAATTCCAAGACAACAAAAATAGAGAATTTGAAAAAGCAAAAGAAGAAATAAAGGAAACCATAGAAGCACTGTATAAACACCAAAGTGAAACAGAGAACACGATGAATAAACAGATAAATGAACTCAGGACAAAAATAGACAACATTAAAGAGGAAACCACTCAGGATATGGAAAACCTCAGAAAAAAGAACGAAACAGAACTGCAAAACAAAACGGAAGGCCAATCCAGCAGAATAGAACAAACAGAAGACAGAATCTCAGAACTTGAAGATGAAATGGTAATTAAAGGAAAAACCAAGAACTATTAATTAAACAACTCAAGACCTGTGAAAAGAAAATGCAAGAACTCACGACTCCATCAAAAGACCAAACTTGAGAATCATGGGCATCGAAGAAGGAGAAGAGGTGCAAGCGAAGGGAATGCGTAATATATTCAAAAAATAATAACAGAAAATTTCCCAAATCTAGAGAAAGATATTCCCATACAGATGCAAGAGGCCTCCAGGACACCAAACAGACCAGATCAAAATAGAACTACCCCACTGCATTCATCATTAAAACACAAGTTCAGAAACTAGGAAAGAATATTGAAGGCTGTAAGAGAGAAAAACAAATAACATACAAAGGTAAACCCATCAAAATCACAGCAGACTTCTCAACAGAAACATTAACAGCAAGAAGAGCTTGGGGTGAGATCTTCCGGCACTGAATGAAAATAACTTCAACCCCAGGATACTCTACCCAGCAAAACTATCATTCAAAATAGATGGAGCAATAAAAGTCTTCCATGATAAGCAGAAACTAAAACAATATGTGACCACAAAGCCACCACTACAAAAGATTCTTCAAGGGATTCTGCACACAGAAAGTGAAACCCAACTTAACCATGAAAAGACAGGCAGCACCAAACACAGGAAAAGAAAAAGCAAGAAAGTAGAGAGTAACCTCAACTTAGGTACACACAATCAAACCTTCAAACAACTAAGACAACTAAATGACAGGAATCACCACATACCTATCAGTACTAACACTTAATGTTAACGGACTTAATTCACCCATCAAAAGGCACCGCTTGACGAAATGGATTAAAAAGGAAGATCCAACAATTTGTTGCTTACAGGAGACCCATCTCACTGACAGAAATAAGCATAGGCTTAGGATGAAAGGCTGGCCCCTGAAAACAGGCAGGAGTAGCAATACTTATCTCTGACAAAGTAGACTTCAAACCTACATTGATCAAAAGAAATAAAGAAGGACATTCCATACTAATAAAAGGGGAAATAGACCAAAAGGAAATAATAATATCAACCTGTATAGCACCCAATGTCAATGCACCCAATTTCATCAAACATACCCTGAAGACCTAAAAGCATATATAAACCAACACAGTGGTTGTGGAGACTTTAACACCCCATTATCATCAATAGATAGGTCATCCAAACAAAAAATCAATAAAGAAATCCAAGATCTAAAATATGCAATAGATCAAATGGACCTAGTTGATGTCTACAGAACATTTCATCCAACTTCTACACAATATACATTCTTCTCAGCAGCCCATGGAACCTTCTCCAAAATAGATCATATCCTAGGGCACAAAGCAAGCCTCAGCAAATATAAGAAAATAGAAATTATACCATGCATACTATCTGATCACAATGCAGTAAAAGTAGAACTCAACAACAAAAGTAAAGACAAAAAACATGCAAACAGCTGGAAACTAAATAACTCATTACTTAATGAACAATGGATCATTGATGAAATAAAAGAGGAAATTAAAAAGTTCCTGGAAGTCAATGAAAATGAAAACACAACCTACCAAACCTATGGGACACAGCAAAGGCAGTCCTGAGAGGAAAGTTTATAGCCATGAGTGCATATATTAAAAAGACTGAAAGATCCCAAATCAATGACCTAATGATACATCTCAAACTCCTAGAAAAACAAGAACAAGCAAATCCCAAAACAAATAGAAGGAGAGAAATAATAAAAATAAGAGCTGAAATCAATGAAATAGAAACCAAAAAACCATACAAAGAATTAATGAAACAAAAAGTTGGTTCTTTGAAAAAATAAACAAGATCGACAGACCCCTCCCTAGCAAACCTGACTAAAATGAGGAGAGAAAACCCAAATGAGTAGAATCAGGAATGCAAAAGGGGAGGTAACAACAAATACCATGGATGTCCAGGAAATCATCAGAGACTACTTGAGAACTATATTCAAATAAATTTAAAAATCTTAAAGAAATGAACAGATTTCTAGATACATATGATCATCCAAAACTGAACCAAGAGGAAATTAATCACCTGAATAGATCTATAACACAAAATGAAATTGAAGCAGCAATCAAGAGTCTCCCCAAAAAGAAAAGTCCAGGACCTGATGGATTCTCTGCTGAATTCTATCAGACCTTTAAAGAAGAACTGATACCAACCCTCCTTAAACTGTTCCATGAAATAGAAAGGGAAGGAAAACTGCCTAACACATTTTATGAAGCCAGTATTACACTTATCCCAAAACCAGGCAAAGACACCTCCAAAAAGGAGAACTATAGGCCAATCTCCTTAATGAACATTGATGCAAAAATCCTCAACAAAATAATGGCAAACCGAATTCAACAACACATCAAAAAGATTATTCACCACAACAAGTAGGCTTCATCCCAGGATGCAGGGTGGTTCAATATACGAAAAATCAATAAATGTAAAACCCATTAACAGAAGCAAAGACAAAAACCACTTGATCATCTCAATAGATGCAGAAAAAGCCTTTGATAAGATCCAACACATTTCAGCTCTAAGAAAACTAGGAATAGAAGGAAAGTACCTCAACATTATAAAGCTATATATGACAACCTACAGCCAGCATTATACTTAATGGAGAAAACTGAAACCATTCCCTCTAAAATCAGGAACCAGACAAGGATGCCCACTATCTCCACTCCTATTCAACATAGTACTGGAATTCCTAGCCAGAGCAATTAGGCAAGAAGAAGGAATAAAAGGAATACAAATAGTAAAGAACTGTCAAATATCCTATTTGCAGATGACATGATCCTATACTTAAAGACCCAAAAAACTCTACTCAGAAGCTTCTAGACATCATCAATAGCTATAGCAAGGTAGCAGGATATAAAATCAACATAGAAAATCATTAGCATTTTTAAACCAATTAAAGAAATGGGCAAGTGAAACTAAACAGAACTTTCTCAAAAGAAGAAATTCAAATGGCCAAAAACACATGAAAAAAATGCTCACCCATCTCTAGCAAGAAGAAATGCAAATTAAAACCACACTAAATTCCACCTCACCCCTGTTAGAATAGCCATCATTAGCAACACCACCAACAACAGGTGTTGGCGAGGATGCGGGAAAAAAGGAACCCTCTTACACTGTTGTGGGAATGTAGACTAGTACAACCACTCTGGAAAAAATTTGGAGGCTACTTAAAAAGCTAGACATCGATCTACATTTGATCCAGCAATACCACTCTTGGGGATATACCCAAAGACTGTGACACAGGTTACTCCAGAGGCACCTGCACACCCATGTTTATTGCGCACTATTCACAATAGCCAAGTTATGGAAACAGCCAAGATGCCCCAACTGACGAATGGATTAAGAAAATGTGGTATCTATACACAATGGAATTTTATGCAGCCATGAAGAAGAACGAAATGTTATCATTCGCTGGTAAATGGATGGAATTGGAGAACATCATTCTGAGTGAGGTTAGCCTGGCCCAAAAGACCAAAAATCGTATGTTCTCCTCATATGTGGACATTAGATCAAGGGCAAACACACAAGGGATTGGACTTTGAGCACATGATAAAAGCGAGAGCACACAAGGGAGGGTGAGGATAGGTAAGACACCTAAAAAATTAGCTAGCATTTGTTGCCCTTAAGCAGAGAAACTAAAGCAGATACCTTAAAAGCAACTGAGGCCAATAGGAAAAGGGGACCAGGAACTAGAGAAAAGGTTAGATCAAAAAGAATTAACCTAGAAGGTAACAACACACACAGGAAATAATGTGAGTCAATCCCTGTATAGCTATCCTTATCTCAACCAGCAAAAACCCTTGTTCCTTCCTATTATTGCTTATACTCTCTCTACAACAAAATTAGAGATAAGGCAAAATAGTTTCTGGGGTATTGAGGGGTGGGGGGAGAGGAGGGGTGGAGTGGGTGGTAAGGGAGGGGGTGGGGGCAGGGGGGAGAAATGACCCAAGCCTTGTATGCACATATGAATAATAAAACAATAAAAAAAATACACATTTGTTTCACGAAATTTTTCTTGATTAGGTCCTTTACTCTAAGTTACCTTAGCCTGTTGGTATTTGGTTTGTATTTGCATGTAGCCTTTATTTCTTTGGCTGTTGTTCTTAATGTTATTTCTTTCTTGTGTGATTTGGCTGTCAGCTATACTGTAACCTCTCTAGAGCAGGAACATTGTGTGTTTTCTCCCTAGTACTTTTAGCATTTATTGTACATATAATGATTAAAGTAGGACTGGGCTTGAATCTTTTCAGCTGGAAACAAGAGAACATTCTAATTAGATACGCTAGACATGATACACACTTCTTGGGCAGGATTACAGCCTCCACTCCCATTGCTGGAACCCTCAGAACTAACATCAATATGTTGATCCATCTAGTTATCTGTCTTTTACTTTGTCATTCTGAAGTGATTCAAGAGTGGAATCATGAATGATTCCACTTAGAAATCAACTTCCTAACAATTCTAAGACTATCGTAATACTTTGTATAACTTGTTTTGAATAATACTTGAATAACTTTATTTTAAATGCAATTAATTTCTGTAATCAAATATGGTTGTATATGGAATTTAAACTTAATTTTTATGTTTAGGCTAAAGTCTCATTTAGGGTTTTACATTTTTTATAGTTGTTTAAAATGTACTGTTAATGTAGTATTTTGTCTGTGTTTAATTTCATACATTTAAGGAATACACCGCCTTAAACAGAGTTTGCCAAAAAGAAAAGCAGGATTTATGGCTAAATCATATGACCCAATAGCACCCATAGCGGAAGAAATCAGTCAAGAAGCATCTCTCTTATGTTTTGATGAATTTCAGGTAAGAGAAAATTTTCACAACTGTAAAATGGTATATTTGAATGAAATATGAAGGTTTAAATTTTGCACCTAGTGTTTTTATTGTTTTATAAATTAATTTGATACATTCTTTCTTAACACTTTAATGTTAGTATCATGTATAGGGGTTTTCAAAACATGACCCACATAGGGCGAATGGAAAGGTTCTGAGCGGGTGGCTTGGCTCAAATGGTAGAGCACCTGCCTAGCAATCATGGGGTCCGGAGCTCAAACCCCAGTATGCAAAAATAAATAAATAAATAAATGTTTTTAAGGGTAGTAGAAAGAAGAAGAAAAAGAAAATACAACCACATACAAGCGACTGTATATCCTGCATATCCTAAAATATGAAATCTTTTATCTTTTACAGGATGTTTGCCCACCTCTAAATTATGGTGAATGACTGTATATATCCTGCCTCTATACCACAAAGATAATGTCATTATAAAATAATGTTTGATATTTTCAAAAGGGTTTTGTAAATAACTAGTGATTTGCACATCTCATTTAATCCTCACAACATATATAACCTATGAGAAAGGGAAGGAATTGCCTTCATTGAACTTTGAAATCCTCTTTTAGTTTCAGAATTCTATGAAATTATGCATTTAAATTGGTCGTGAGTTATTTCCTGTTCTGTGTTTAGTGGGAAGACAATGTGAGTAGGATGTCTTATCCCAAATCGTACATGATAGGTTTCCTTTAGCAGCTGGATACACATAGCTAACAACAGTGTAGAGTTATGATAGAAGGGAAAGAAGAATTTCACTAGGAATGCTGTTGCATTAAACCATCTGGGGAGGTTTCCTTTCAAGCATATATAAGACAACCTGGCATTCATCCTTTGTATAGAGCTGCAAAGGTCTTCCAAGTGAAGGCTTGTGGAAAACAACAGCAGGTGTTTGTGGTCACTCTGTAGAGCCAGCTAAATACACCAATGTATTATAGAAGGAGTTATTCTGGAAATGGCACCTAGTTAACAGTTTTGTTGCTTCAGAGAACACAAGTCAGCAATCAATTAATAAGGGCATTTGTCCTGATTTTCCATTATTAACCTTTTAACCAAAATAACACTAAATATAATTGAATCTTCACAGTTAAAATTTAAGTTCAATTTTTAATATTAAATTAAAATAATTAAGACTTGCAAAAATGATTCATGGTTTAAAATATGTTTTATAACCTTATTTCCATTTCCAGATGAGGAAGCTAGAGGCATCAGAATTTCCTAGGCATCATGCAAAAATCCAAATGAGCTCAGTCTTACAAAAGGAATGCAGGCAACAAAAAGGAGTTTTCACATTACATATTGAGTATAAGAAAGATTAAGGGGAGATAGGCCCTTATAAAATCTTGCTTGCTACAGAGAAAGCAGATGCAATAGAAATGTCTGTCATCACCTGTTCCATCCCGACTTGCTTTGCTGTTCATTCATTCATTTAGACTTCCATCCAAGTTGCCTTCAAGAGCCTTATTCCTATCTGGTGCATAGGTCCCACAGCTAAGAGGACCATGACTGGACATCTAACCTATGAATAGCTTGTCAGCAACCTTGGACATGTGTGTGTTGGAATGGGCCAGAAATATCCATAGCACAGAGGGAAATTTCAGTGTAGTAATGAGACAGGAACGAAGAGAAATGGAAAGTGACTGAGTCACATTAAGGAAAGTAGACTGGTGTGTTCCCTAGATAACTGAACTCTATAGAGCTCCTCCCCAATCTCCAAGTCTCTCTGGCAGCTTCCACGTTCCATGAGTGCGTATCAGTGTTTTTCCCATCCTAGAGTCTCAGGCTGGCCTTCAATTTGTTATGTAGCCCAAGCTGGCCTTGAACTCACAATCCTCCTTCCTTAGCCTCCTGAGTGCTTAGGATTCTAGGCATGCACCACCATGCCTGACTGAAAGTCTGTCCTTTCTTGAAAGCTGCGCTCTCTTGTACTATTGTCTTGGAAACAGTTTGTTGAGAATGGATTCTCAAATCATGTTTTTACTACTATTTTCTATGCCAGTAGATTTTCCTTTAATCTTTAAATATGGCATAATATTGGAAGAAGTACTGTCGAGGAAAATGTCACTTTCCTTAAAATAAAATCTGTTACCTCTAATGGAAGGAAAATTATCCAATGAATTAAAAAGCCCAAGAAGAGCAAAAATGAGGACTCTACTAGAAACGCTTTGGCTACAGATAACAGAAAAGTCAACCTAAAGGGCTTATACTCGAAGGAAGAGTATTGTGTTATACAAGGGCATCATTTCTCTTGTTCAAACACTCCCTTTTTTTTCCCCTTTTTTTTTTTTTTTTCCTTTTTCTGACCATATTCTTCAACAGTTCAGCCTTAATTTCATCGTTTTATTGTTCCCAAGTCGTATTTTTTCTTTCATTAGATTGGAAAACCACATGTTAATAGTGGTATATAGCCAAATACTTCTTTCCCAACAGGGCTCTGTGAAAAAATGTACAGCGATGACAAAATAAGACTCAATATAAATTGATTCCTTTCATTTGATCCCTAATTTTAGGGTGGCATTCTGGTGTGTTAGAATTGACAACATGGGTGACACACTTCCCTTGAACGAGGATGACCTGAATATCATAGAATGAAAAATGTTAATAAAATCTTTTTATTTCCTGTATAATTCCAAACATGATCTTGGAGATTACCACTGATAACAAAGGAAGAGACCCACTAATCTGCATATACCCAAATGTTGAGAAAGCCATAGAAAAACAAGTATATAAGGCAAGAGAGTCCCCTAAGGAAAGATGCGATCTCTGAGCCTGGGTTTCCCTGGATTCAATAATTCCTGAAACATCTTTCTGCTATGCATCTTAGAGGAGCCCTTCAGCACACCAACACTGGGTTTTACTTTTCCTCTACTCTAAAACTCAAGAGGATACAAGGATGCCCCCCAAATGTTGCTCATCACCACTCTTTGATCCCCGAATACTACAAGGAACAGTAAAGCAGAGCTTTGCCTTGTGCATTTCTTCCTCATGGAGCAGTATTCCCTATACTAGGATTCCAGAGCTAGGACAGTGGTTAGCTGCCCTGACCTAAGGGGAAATGCAGGGGAGTTGGACCAGGAGTTCATAAAATGCCTTGCACAGCATTCTTCCTTCACCTAGAGGACAGCCTCATGCTCAAGTGTCTGACCAATAACCAGGGACATTCTCACAAGAGAAACTACTTCATACAGCAGATAGCCTTGTGGCTCCTATCTGACCTGTATCCATTTTTGCCTAATGATGGATCTGGTGCTGGGAGCCCATCTTGTGTCCTCTCTACTGTTTGTAGTGAAAACCCAGCTTAGGATAGCCCTTGGTGTTTGAGGTGGAAAGTGCAAATTCAGTATACCACCACAATAGGAAATAAGTTCAAAGTTTTATTACTTTCACACTACTGTGCTTGGCTTAGTCTAGTCTTCTGGGCAGAATAGAGGTCTCTCAATTGTTATCTCTGGCTGTGTGGTGTTCTACTTCTAATGCTGAAGCAGCAAGCTTTGCTGTATCCTTCTGTTATACATATCCAGGAGAGTAACTCCCTCACTTCATCTGATCTTTGCTTACTTATCTCCTTCTTAACAAGGCCTATCCTAACACTGTATTTAAAATTGCAGTTTGCAATTTTACCCTCATTTTTTCCCTCCAATTCATTATAAATTGCAGTTTGCCCTTTACCCTCATTTTTTTCCTCCAATTCATTATTTCCTTCTAACATATCTAACATAATTTACTTATGTTTATTGCTTGTTTATCTATCTTCTACAGAATGTAAACTTGGAGACATGAGTCTTTTTGTTAATTAATGTATCTCAAGTGTCAAGAACAGTGCCTGAGAATAAATAAATTCTAATGAATGAATCCTAGGGCCAAATAGTAACTATTGAAGCAGTTCCTTCATTAAGACTCACTCCCCCATATATAATAGAATCATCTCATACAAAATCAGCAATTACAGAACCCACATTTTTTTCCTGTCAACATTCTGAATTACCTGCACATTTTTGTCTAATTTAGGTAGCACACTTAGCACTTGAACCATGCCTCCACTTCCATTTTTATCTAATTTAAAGACAAAAAATGGTATCTCATTGTTTTAAATTGTATTTGTTTATGTACTAATATGGTTGATTTTTCTATGTTTATTTACTTGTTAAATTCATCTTTTTCAAACTATTTAAGGTGTTGCTCATTTATTTATTGGGATGCTTACATTCCATCTCTTATGCATATTGCTTTATGCTTTTGTGTGTGTGTGTGTGTGTTGTGTGTGTGTGTGTGTGTGATGCTGGGGATTGAACTCAGAACCTTGAGCATGTTAAGCACATAGCTTCCAGCCCCAATTATACATATTCTAGATTATTAACTACTGTTTCCTAGGTGCTTTTTATGTGCCTATGTTCTTAACCATTGTACTATGCTATATATCATTCCATTTTCATCTAAAATTCTATACATCTATACATTAATATGGAATTATATGAGCATACACACTAGACAGGTGCTTTTTTTTTTTTGGTAGTCCTGGGGTTTGAACTCTGGGTCTGGTGCTTGCTAGGCAGATCCTCTACTGCTTTAGCCACACTCAGGTCCAGTGCATATACACTATGTATAGGTAATAGCCATAGTTAACATTTCTTGAGAGTTTAATATATGTCTCATTACAATTTTCAAGGCAGATATTATTACTGCTTTTATTATATTAATGCAGAAATTGAGGGTCAGAGAGGTTGTGTAACTTGACTGAGGTCACAGAGCTGAAAACCAACAGTTTAAATCCAACCTCATTGTTCTTACTGGTAACAGCTGTGTTATGTTTTCCTTAGTATACAAAGTCTTATATGTTTAAATATATAGTCGTAGAGCTGGGGGGGGGTTGGTAGATATTTAATGATAGAACCTAAAAATTATCCTTAAGCCTATTAAGTCTAGTACAATACTTGCTGATTTATTAGAAAAAAAAATTTAGGTGCTTTATTCTTAGTGACAGTATGTCTACAATCACCATTTCACTTTTAAAATTAAATCATATTAGTAGACTTGATTTTTAGCTAATTATTATTGGCCTTTAGGTGGTGTTAATTAATATAATATTTATTTTACTAGGGAGATGAATAGGAATTATTGCTGCTTAAAAATGAAGGATATACTCTATCTTTTTTGTGCTCTTGAATTTAAGGAATTTTTAAGATGTTTTGGTAGCACTTAGATTACATTTGTAGAATGTGTTCTTAATCAGTTTGGTCATCCTTACTAAGTGTGGCATTTCAGTTGTATTTGCGGTACTAGATACACTGTTCTTATTTTGGTTGTGAAAGTGTGTAAATTTTTTGTTTGTTTGTTTGTTTTGATGGTACTGGGTTTGAACTCAGGGCTTTGCACTTGGTAGGCAAGCTCTTGAGCCATGCCCCCAGCCCTAGTTTTTTTTCAAATGTGTTTAAGTTGCTGAAATAAAAAAATAGATCATTTTCAAAGTTTTCTTTAGGATCTTCATTATGTCCTCTTTGAATATTTATGTTACTTGCTAAACCATTTGTGATTCTGAAGACATTAGAAATATTGAGGGAAATTGGATTTAAAAAAAAAATCTGTCTTTGTGTGTCTTAAGGGATATTGAATAGATGTTTTACTAATATGCTTTAAAAAAGCATTCTGATGAGCAGAACATCATGCAAAATTCTCCTCTATAAGCTATCAGTATCATTTGAAAAATAGTTTTAACCATTTTTATAAAGCAGGAAAGCTATTAAAAACTGCTAATAAAAAATAGGTGCTTATTTTTGTGCTAATACTAATTACTGATAATGCATGCTTATGTTTGTCACTCATTGCATGGCACTGTACCAATCAGTGGATGACTAAGACTCAAACACTTACACATGTAAATTAGCCATTAGGTTTTTTTTTCTTTTTTATTTAAGTGAGTCATAATGGAAAGCAACTCTAGGTCATAAAAAAATCTCCTCTCTTTAATGCTAATGAAATGTCTCCACTCTCTGTTAGCAGACTACCCTTATTGGTAATCTGTAGCCTTCTCTTTTGTTCCTGGTGGTAATGAAATGCTGGGTGCTAAAAATGCTGGCTCTCCAAGAATGTGGGGCCAAATGTCTTCTGTTCACTTATACTGTAAAATTACCATTCCCCAGCGAAGCCGAACAAGTGTGGGGACAAGATCAAAAGAGTATACATTGGCACTGGGCTGCAGCAAGTGACTCCTGCTTTATGAATTAGTCATAGCTTCTCCAAGTTACTCAGATAGAGCAAAAACATTTCACGGTATCAAAACAGCAAAGTATAACTTGACCACAAGTCTTTCTTCAGTTTTCAGTTTAAACACTTGTACTGTGTTGTAGGCTAAATGTCCCTTCCCTTTGCTGAACCTTAAAGCGCAAAAGCTATTTTTGGGTTTTTTTTCCCCCAAACATTATTAGCAATATAGTCAAATGACCATTTTTATTCCCTAAAATCAAGTATCATTTATTGATATTTCAAAAAAGCAAATGTCTTAGGAATTTAAAATTGGATTTAGAATCCACTTTAAAAGTGCAGTTGCTATTAAAATTTGCAAGCTTGTTCTGTCCCTCATCAGAAATGCCACTGGTGTTTAAGCATTTGAAAAGGACCTTCTCTGTGAGTGTTTTTGCAGAAGCAAAATTTGACGATCCTAAGCTTCAAATTAAATCATATCAGCACCACTTTCCTTTCCTTTTAAATCATCACCTTGAAATTCTGAAATTCTTTTTAATTTAAGGAATCTTCAGTAATTTTTTAGTTCATATGTTTTTCAAGTTACAGCCTGAGACAGAAAATAAAATACACATCCCCCTTTCATGTTTTTGCTTTGCTTTGTTCAGGTGGGAAAGAAATCATTAAGCATTTGAATAAATACCAGCTGTAAAGAGACTTAGATCTATGCAACCTAGGTTATCAGGTGTGTTGTAGCCGGTTTTCACGGTAACTTTTAGTGTTTTGGTCAAATTGAGAAATTCCACTAGTTTCTATACCTCCTAATGAGATTTTAAAATAAATGTGAAATATTTAATCAGTAAATATAAAGCAAATTTATTAAGATTATTTTAAATGTGCTATTAAAGAAGTATCAAAACATTTTTACACTGGGAGTATCTAAAACTCATGTTATATACTTAGGGGAAGTTGCAGTGATTAATATCAGCCTTCATTGTATATTTATTTTTGAAGTCAACTTCCCTTAAATGTATTTCTTCGTGAATTTTAAAAGCTTTTACAAATTTTTCATTAAGTTTACCTTTTAATTATGAATTTTAGAAATAATTAATTTTAGAAAAGATCAATAGTTATATTTCTTTGTAACCTAACTTAGATGGAATAGTTTTATGTCCATTATGCATTTCTAGTTTTGTCAGAGATTATTTTTTTAAAGCACTGTATTAACCATTCTTGGAAGGGATTAGTTTTGGTTTTTGGTTTTGGTTTTTTTTGAAGGAATATTTGTGTTTGCGAAGGTTAGCAGAGGCTGGCTGTGCTGGAAGTGACTGCAGTGCCTTTTGATTATTCATGGACAGTAATAGAAGGCACTTAAAAAGAACAATGAAATTGCTTATTTTTGTGATGGGCCATCTGTTGAATTGTTTTGTGCAACAATTGCACAATAGTATCTATGTCATATCATTCTATTTTCAACAGCAGCTGATTATGTCTCACTGGCTACTTGTCCTTATTTCCAAAGTCCCATGACCATTTAAAGTCACCTTTGTGGGGACCTTTGCCAGAGAGGTATTAGAAACTGCAAGCAGACTGTGTATTTTCATATTATATTTTTCTTTTTGTTTTCATCTCTCTTCTTTTTTTGGGAGGGGGGAGGGGTAGATGGCAGTAGGAGGAGGGAGTTGGTCATGTTCTAATTAATTAGACTTCCTAAATTTTTAGAATAATTATCTCTACTTCCACCTGTAGTTCTATAAAAGAAGTTAATATAGAACCATTTGATAATTTGTATAGAAATGATAGGCTTGCAAGAAACAAGTCAAGTTTAAAAGACTGTTATACAGTCTTTCATGCTTTTAATTATCTACTTTTTTCTTCATGATGATAATTGGACTTTTTCTCTTGGAATTCACTTCCATCTTTAAAAAAAATGAGCCATTAGCAAATTTGTTAGAGCAGAAGTGAAATTAAAATAAAACAAATGTGTTGTTGTCCATAGGTCACTGACATCGCTGATGCCATGATTTTGAAACAGCTTTTTGAAAATCTGTTCAAAAATGGGGTCGTCGTTGTGGCAACATCCAACAGACCACCGGAAGGTAAAAACAAACATTGATGCTAGTCTCATCCAATTAGGTGGAAACTAACAAGCTTTTAAAAATCCATAATTTTGGACTAATTTTGTGTTAATAAATCTGATAACCTTGCTTATCATTAGTTTTATAACTGGCTTAGTCTGAAAAATCAGGCTGTATTTGTATTAGGAAAATGTTTATGTTTTAAGCATGCTAAATCTATGTGATCTCTCATGTTTGTATACACTTGCTTTTTTCTCTGAATATGGACTATGTCATATATGCATATCAAAAAATGCAATAAAAGAAACTTAAGGGAATGAAAAATAAAACTCCTAATTAAATTTTAGGAAAAGACAAAGCTTGCTTGTGTGAGTAGTTTCTAATACTTCACTTAATTTATCATTCTAAAAAAGCACTTGTGGCTTATTAGGAAAGTATTTAAGAATTAAAATACAAGTAATATTTAGACAAAAGCAACAAGTTTAAAATCTTGTATTTTTCATTCCATCATGTGTTCAGTTAAAGGTATAAGGAGCTAAAAAATAATATTTTATAAGAGAGTCAATGTTAACATCTTTCTGCCTAGATTGCTCTTCCCTCAGATACCTGTGTACGTGGCTTAAGTCCTTACTTAATTGAAGTTTTTGCTTAACAGTTATTTTGCTAGTGAAGCCTAAAACCTGCCTCCCCATTTGAGTTACACTCTGGCCCTTTTTTCTGATGTTGCTTCCTCTTAACCCTCTCTTTGTTTTTCCTTAGAATTTATAGACTCACTGTAATTTATTTACTCATAATATTTTTGATTTATTTTCTGTCCTCTTCCAGGATTCAAAACATCATGAGGGCAGCAAGCTTAATCTTTACTTGGATGTATTCTAAACTCTTATAACAGTGATGCATGTAGATAGATCTTATTAATTAGTCTTAGAATGAACACTGAATAAATGCATGTTTTAAAATGATCTCTTAGGCTGGAGTATAGCTCAAGTGGTAGAGAGGCCCTGTGTTCAACCCATAGTACCACAAAAAAAAGCAAGTGAGGGACCCTAAATTCAAACCCTGGTAGGGTGGGAGAAGAAAAAACAAAACAAAACAAAAAACCCAAAAGAATCTCTCTGGCTACAGGGTAGAGAATAGAATGTGAGAATAAGGTTTTGAGATTGGCAATAAAGAGACCATTTTGAAGACTGTTGATAATCCTGGGGGAGGATCATGAGCAAAACAGTGGTAAGAAGTGTTCAGATTCTGGATATATTTTGTAGATAGAGTCTACAGAACTTACTAATGGAATGAATACAGAGAATAAAAAAAGAGGGATCAAGAATGACTCAAAAGTTTTGGGCAGTGGACTTGGAAGGATGAAGTGCTGCTCAGTGAGTGGACGAAGACTGAAGTTTTCGAAAAGCAGGTTTTAGATAGGGAGATGGAAGAAGGGGTTTCTATGACAACAAATGCACATAAGAGAGCTTTGCTGGAAAAATTTGGACTGGAAGTATAAGTTTGGGGGTCATCAGTCCAGAATCAGTCCAGATTGTCCAGAGTAACTGGTAAGGTAGGAGGAGAACAAAGAGAATGTCAAGTGAGAAAAAGAAAACTGGTACAAAAAGGAAGGATAATCACCTTCATTAAATGAAGATCAAAATGTGGTCGAGAACTGATGACTGTAATTGCCAACACAGAGTTCATTAGTGAGCCTGAAACAAGCAATGTTAATAATGTGAGACTTTTAAAAAATTAAGTCACGTTGGTGACTGATACATCAAGATTTTATTGTATAAGATACTGTCAAACTCTGTCTCTCTTCTTCTATGCTTGTACAGTTAATTTCCTTTACTTTTAATGTTATATACAACATTTTTTGTGAGATACTGGTATTAGCAACTGTGTGGGTCAAGGCAGTGCGATTTTTCCCTGTTTTTTTTTTTTTCCTGTGGGATGGCATTTTGAATTCAGGGCTTCACACTTGCAAAGCAGGCACCCTACTGCTTTAGCCACACCTCTAGTCCATTTTGCTCTGGTTACTTTGGAGATGGGGGTCTCATGCTAACTATTTGCCCTGGCTGGCCTCAAACTCTGATCCTCTTGATCTCAACCTCCCAGGTAGCTAGGATTACATGTGTTAGCCACCAGCAGCCAGCTACCTGGGTTTTTGTGAGGCAGGATCTTGAACTGGCCTTGAACTCAGGCTTCTCCTACCTCAGCCCCTCAACTGTTGGGCTTGTAGGCATGTGCCACCATGTCTGGTTGGCAGTGAGCTTTTTGTTTTGTTTTGTGGTAGTAGGGTTTGAGCTCAGGGCCTCATGCTTCCTATACAGGTGCTCTACCACTTGAGCCGGCCCCAGCCCTCAGTGAGCTTTTTAATAGGATCATTTATTCAGGCAGAAGTGAGACTTGCCCGTACTGTAGCTAACATGTTTATTAACAATGTCATCAGTATTGCCTTTAGACATTCAGTGACAAATCTATGCATATAAATAACAAAGTGCTATAACAATCTTGGAAGGCCCCAGCAAAGATTTCTGGAAGGAAAATTGCACTTGGCTGCTTAGCTATTGCAGTATGGTTAAATTGAGGAAAGACAATCACAAGGAATGGTTAAGGAGCATTCTGGAACTCATAGCATTGTAGCAGTTAACAAAGTTACTGATCTACCAGGGTAGCATGCAGAAATTGAGCTGGAGCAGTCATTTTGGAGAAGACCAAAAGTTCAAGATGCATAATTGCAAGAGTGGACATTAATTGACTTAGAGAAAACTTTCTCTAAATAGGCTGTAGAGAGGAGGTGCTTGTCATGCATCAGGTTTATTAGCTACAGCAGGCAACCATCTTTTTGTTTGTTGGCATTTGAACCAAGGCCTTTTGCATGCTAGGCAAATGCTCTACCACTGAGCTGTGTCTTCAGCCAGTCAAACAATTATCCTAAATAACTTAATATTTTAATGTGTGGTGGTATGTGCCTATAATCTCCTGAGATTGAGATGGGAGGATCACAAGCTCTAGGCCAATTTAGGCTATAGGGTAAGACCTTGTCTCAAAAAAAAAAAAAAAAAAAAAAAACCACCAAAAATTAAAAAAAAAATTTACTGTGAAGAAAATGACACACACACACACACACACACTGTATATATATATATATATACATATATATATACATACATATATATACATATATATATACACACACACATATGTGTATATTTGTAATGTGTGTATATTATATATATGTCTAATATACATATACATATATACATATAGGTATAGTTTCATGGGTGAAGAAAAATACTCAGAGAGAGTACAGATGTCAGGAAAAGGCAAAGCAATAGGACAAAGAACAGATCAAGCTGGGTAATCCCAGCACTCAAGAGGCTGAGGCAGAACAATCTTGAGTTCAAGGCCAGCCTAGGCTACATAGTGAGACCCTGTTTCAAAAACAAAACAAAATCCCCAAAATAAACAAAGAAGAACTAATCAGTGGTTGCCAGGGGCTGGGGTCAGGAAGGTGTATGACTACAGAAGGAGAGTAGGAAAGAGAATTTCTTGGGGTGATGGAACTGTTGTGTATCCTGTAGTAATGGTTGCATAGGTTACTGAATGGGATGCTCTTGCCCCAATATTACCCCACCACCACCACCTGCCTGCTCTGGCCTGGAAATACCTTTGTGTCCATGACACAACAGATGTTTCTGAGCTTTCCAGAAGGACAAACCTGAGGGCAAGGGATGGGGGAGGGGGCCCTGGTGTATGTAGTGGGGCTAAGGGCTAGGAAAGTGGGAGTTGGGGGGCTGGGGTTTTAGGAGGAGCCAGGCCTGGGGCCATCATCCCCCTCTGTCATCCCCCTCCAGGCTGAGATTTGAAAAGCAGGACTGACGGTCCCAGGGGGGACTCCAGGGAAAAGCCTGAGGCTTCTGCAAGACATTATAGGAAACTGCTTAGCTTTCTTTCTGGTTGGTGGGGGCGGTTGGCCCCTCTCCAGGCCTCATCCTTTCCCTGTGAACCTCTCCCCTCCCCCATAATGATGCCTGGCTCTGGGTCCCCTTGGCTTAGCTGTAGAGGGGCCTGCTCTGAGTAGAAGGGGAAGAAGCCAACGCTGGTTTTGGGGGTGGGAAGGAAAGGGAGCAGGGCCCTGTTTGGGCCAAGAGGCTCACTCCAGCTGATGAGATAAGCTGTTAGCAATTCAGCTGCTGGACTGGGGCTGAGGCTGCAGAGAAGGGGCACAGACACCATCCAGACTATGTAAACGGCCGCCAGCAGGGAAGGGGCATCCTGCTTCCTCTTGCTCCCCTGGTCCCACTTAGTGGTGGGAGGGACCATCCAGGAGCCTCCTGTGAGGTACTGTCTTAGGTCTGAAATTGAGCCTCTGGGGCACCTGAGGGGGACTCGTAAAGACTCCCCCACTTCTCTTTCGAGAAGGGAAGTCAGGGTCTCCACTGCCCCCTTAGCTCCTCCAAACAAAGAGGCCTGTGAGGCAGCTCTCTGTAGCACACTAAGTGAGAAAAGATGATAGCTTGGTACAAGGCAATAGTTTTCCACTGGGAGGCTATTTTGCTCATCAGGTATATTTAGCAATGTCAAATGTCCCTCCAACAGAGAGGATGCTGTGACTGGCATCTAGTAGGGTGAGGCCAGAAATGTTGCCAAATACTTCTCATAATACACATCACTACCTTCTACCACAAAGAACTATGTAGCCAAAAAATATAAATAGGCATAGGTTAAGAAACCCTAGTATAGAGCAACAGCAATGGATATGGAAGGTCAGATGTAAAAGATTTAGGTGCACAGCACCTGGGCGTAGGTTGGATACTGAGGAAAAGGAAAGGCACAGCTTCTGAGTTTGTAACTTATACAATTGGGTAGATGGTATCCCTGCCATTCAATAAAGACAGAAAACTCTAGGGGTTAGAAGTCCAGAAGACAATGCCGGCTGGAAAAGAATGCGTACTATTTTTCCTCTCTATTAACACGTTAGCCCCTCTGTTTAATTTCTTCTACTTCATTCATCTCATTTGCTCCATTTCTTG